TTCTCTGTGCTCCAGTCTGGTGCGCTGGCGCTGGGTGCGGATGAGGCTCCTCTCCTGGTCTGCAGGTGGCCATGAGCTCCTTGAGGTTAGAGCACCCAGGGCACCCGGTTCTACAGCAGGGCTCTTCAGGCCTCAGCTGCCACCAGCACCCTTGCTGCCCCTGGGCAGGTGGAAGAAGCACAAGGCGCGCCAGGAACCCAGCAGCCCCAGCGGTGGTCCCTGTCTCTTCCCCCTGGCCCAGCCTCCCTACCCGCCGGTGCCACATCGCCCGCCACATACGTGACATCTGCACGTGATCGGCCACTCCCACATTTTGAGGTATTTGTTATAGCAGACCCCCATTTCCAGTTACTAAAATCTGTATTAGTTATCTATTGTATGCAATATTTTGCGCACACAGAGGCTTAAAACACCATACATTCATAGCCTGTGTCTTCTCAGTGTCTTTCCACTAACTAAGAGGTTATGCATCATCTGTTTAGATAGGCACCACAGGCTTTTCAAAGATAATTGTCAAGTAACATCTTTGTGTCTGGGTTTTGTCATTCATTAAAATAGATCATAATACACAACTCAAGCTTTGTGTGAAGATAAACAACTGGGGTGATGTCTGCTAAAGTAATGAAAGTGTTTCCCACCACAGGAGGGCTCAGCTCCTGTGAGATCCCCTGTTCTTCCTCAATGTGGAAAACGTCTAGTCTAGGTTTACCTAAGGACAGAGTATCAAGGTAAGGTGTCTTACAATTGGTAGTTATAACAAAATGTTTGGACTCTTTAAGATCTGCTTTTTATTTTTTTTATATTTTTTTTTTTGAGACAGAGTCTCGCTTGTTGTAGTTAGATGGTGAGTATGCCGTGGCATCAGCCTAAGCTCACAGCAACTAAACTCCTGGGCTCGAGCGATCCTTCTGCCTCAGCCCTCTCCGAGTAGCTGGGACTACAGGCATGAGCCACCATGCCCTGGCTAATTTTTTATTACTATATCAGTGTGCAATTATTTCTTTCTTTGTTTTGTTTGTGAGAGGCTCAAGAAATGAGGGGCAGAGGCTCAAGTGTGG